CCTTAATACGCAGTCTTTTCTACCTGTTGTCACGTGAATCGTCTCCGTGCCTACCATTCTGGTTCTTGTGAACTTGATAATTGGCATAGATGAGGCCGTTTGAATCAGGACAGTTTATGTGTAGGTCGTATTAATCTGAGATCCTTTATTATATTTTAGTGGTTACTAGATAGAAATAGGGGATACTCTCGTCCCTACCTAGCAGCCACTCATTGATGTCTCCCACTTCTTGTCTACTTGTAAAATCCAGGGATGCTCTATAGGCAACTAGGATGTTGAGTGATTCTTTCACAGCAGACTTGACATGTGCGGCAATAGAATCTAGGGCGAAATGTTCATTGAAGAAAAAACAGATGTGGCAGCTGTGGAAGCCGCACCTTGCGTAACAAGCATTAAAGGGCTGCTCTCCAAATCACATTAATGATATAAATGGAGGGTTGCTGCTGTAGTTCTCATTGTCTTGCTTTGTATTTAAGGGCTTCTCACAGAGACACATACTCTATACGACGCACTGGCTAGAACAGGTTTTCCTGATATTTATATACTGTTGTTGTGCACTTAAGTAAAGAAGGAAAATATTCTGGTACAGATATGTAACTGAATTTAGCGGTTGCGCTCCTGTTCTCCTGATCAACAGCTCCGACAACATCTGTGGCATTTACGCTCAGATGGCTGTAAAACTTTTTCAGTAATTCATTCACCAATTTAGCCCTTATGGTGCCCCTATGTGTGTCAAGTTTGCCATAATGGACTGATCTCTGTTCATCCTTAGAATTTAATTTGTTTCTTCAAGTTTTTACACAACAACATGAAGCCTCTCGATGCAGCGGGATTACACCCACTTCCTTGCTTCATGCAATCAATCACACACTGTACAATAGGGATACGATGGGATACCAGTCCCGACCACAATTGCTATCTAAAAAACCAACAATCAGAACAGAAACATATATACAAATTTTTTACAAGAAACGAATATTTAAAAATGAAAAATGATTATATATGAAAAGTCACTGCGCAAACAAACACTATCAACGTATCTCAGTCTATTTCTCCAAACACTATCAACGTAAAGTTTCTGTCATGATGTTTCAAATAAAGTGGTGGCGTTGTTGAACAAAATTCGTCACAATGGCGGGCATCTTGTATAAAATCTTATCAAGCGTAACTGTACTTCCTACAGTGTTGTCACAGTTGATAGGATCCTGAACAAGGGCATGCGTCACCCTTAGCCATGGACATACGTGTGGAGGGCCCGTGTCATCTTCGGGTGTGTCCTCAAAATAAGAAGCTACAAAGTATAAAACATGGTAAGTTCCATGATAATCAAACATAAGGGTATAATAAAGTCCCTTGGAAAAGACTCGACCTTTGTCGGTTTCCAATAAAATAACGTGCTTCTTTGAATAAACAAAATGTCCACTATAGTACACCATACATTCCGTGGAACAAAAATTCAATCACATCCGCATAATACTGCGTTGCAAATATATTCACATATACGCCACATAATAACACCAATAAATAAACGTCTTCCAAAATCATGCCACTGAAGATCCTTCTCTAGAGATACGTTAGTTTTGATACGTTGTATTTACTTATAACAAAAACTGATGATAAATGAAATGAAGTAAGATGATAACGTAAATTAAATTGATTGAAACAAATCATTACGATACTGCAGCATTTTACATAAAGTTACACAAATACGGTAGAACCATAATAAATTATTTATGAATAGATATATATATCTATAAAATATTCACGGCTTCTATAAAATTACAATATAATTAAAACTTCAATTAACATACATCAATTAACATGTCTCGGTATAAATTTGCAATAGCGAAACACTAGAATAAAAAGAGCTTTTAAAATTTAATCTGCAAAAATTTAGAAAATTTAGAAAACAATAAATTACTGCCAAATAAACTTAACCTGAATCAAATAAACTATAATTCTAATAGAAAATAGTATTTTACGAAATAGCAAAAATTTATGAAACAAAATCACTAGAAAATTAAATTTACCTTGTACAAGCTGTAATTTTATGACAAATATAATTTGTCTGTCACCGTCATAGTGACCTGTATAACGTCCAGTGCATTGCAATATCTCACTTAAAATTTAGTCATTATATAGCAAACTACTGAGTACTGAGCGGGAAAACGGATCGTGCAAAACATGAAAAAAATCGATTTGCCCGAAAGAAAGCTAGGGCGGCGGGAAAAATAGTTATGTAAAATAAAGGCCCGTCCTTCAAATACAGACATAATACATAGATCTGGTTCATAAAACAAAAATGTAACTTTCTTATTACTGAAAGGATTTTTGTGAAATAAACGGCAAGATGTTTAAATTGAGACATGGAAATTTATGCAAACCATAAAAATACTCTAAATAATAATTTCACCCGAAAACTCTAAATTGAACAAAAGATGATGCAATCTCACATCAATGAATATAGAGTAAAAATGAGGTTCGGCGTGAAAATATAATGCAAGATTTTACAAACGTACTTTCACTTTGTGACACTTACGCCCCCCTTTAAATAAGAAAATTGATAAATTTTCTTTAAATACAATAACGTGAAAACGACAAATTGCAAAAATGTAAGTAGAAATACTGTACACCATATTCATAACCACCATAAATACTACACTACACTCTACATTATACCCTGCTTAAATAATCTGCACCTATGTTTTCTCTACCTGGGATTGCTCTAATCCTCATCCTGTATGGCTGCAAAAGCAAAGACCATCTCATTATTCTAGAGTTACTTAACTTTGCCTTGTTAAGATACAAAAGCGGCTGGTGATCTGTCTCTAGAATAAATTCCTTACCAAACAAGTATCTGTGAAATTTAGAAATTGCCCAAACAATACCAAGGCACTCCTTCTCTATTACAGAATACTTCTGTTCTCTTGGTAACATCTTTCTACTGGCATAAGCTACTGGAAATTTCTCCTCACCTTGTTCTTGAAGTAATACAGATCCTAATCCACAAATCAGAAGCATCAACTCTGAGAATAAATATCTTGTCTAAATCTGGTAATTTCAAAATGGGCGGACCGGTCAAACTAGCCTTAAGAGTCTGAAAAGCCTTTTCCTGACTTTCACCCCATTCAATACGATTTGGTTGAAATTTTTTCGTCAAATCGGTCAACGGAACAGCAATGGCGGCAAAGTTAGGGATGATCTTCCGGTACCAAGACACAACCCCTAAAAATTGCTGGACTCCTCGCTTAGTCGTGGGTCTCTCGGCCTCCTGAATTGCCTTGACCTTACTGAGAACAGGTTCAATGGACTTACTACCACCTATCATATGACCTAAACATTCAATTTTTCGAAACATATGAAACACTTGGACGGTCTAGCAGTAAGCCTAGACTCTCTTAATTGGGTAAATAACTCATACAATGCATTGATATGCTCTGGCCATGTGACTGTATAGACCAAAATATCACCTATAAAACTATCTGAGTGACCTAGATCTTTCAAAACCTTTCTCATCATTCTACAGAATGTTGCAGGGGCATTGACTAAACCAAAGGGCATTTTCCGGAATTGAAAAAGTCCCGACGGGGTTTCAAATGCGGTCAAAGGTTTTGCATTGTCAGACAAAGGAACTTGCCAGTATCCTTTACTAAGGTCAATTTTCGAAAAATACCTGTATTTTGATAATTTCGAAAATATCTGTTCCATATTGGGCATCGGTTCCACATCAAATACCGTGCATTTATTGATCTGTCTAAAATCAATACAGAACCTAATCGTGTTATCCTTTTTCCTGATAAGGACAATTGGACTAGAAAACGGAGCATTAGGAGGTTCGATAACTCCCAACTCTAGCATTTTATCAACTTCTTCCTTTTACTATCTGCTGTGAGTGAAAAGGAATAGGATAACCCTTAGTCCTTACCGGTTCTGACGTAGTCAACTTAATGTCATGCTGAACTAATGACGTATTTCCGGGTATATCTGTTAAAACATCTGAAAATTTCTTTAACAAGGTTGCAATCTGAGTCTTACAATCTGTTTGTAAGTCAGGATTGATCTAAACATCTTTATATGTCTCTGAACCTTTCTTCAATGGACATAACAATATGTCACTATCATCTTGGTAACTTGTTTCTAAACTATCATCTTCCTCTAATCTATCATACCCATTTTCCGCTTCTACAACCGCTGCACTTACCTTTGCCAATGCACCTCGTTCTGGTTCGAAATTTCTTTCAACATACTCCTTCAGCATATTGGCATGGAAAGTTTTGATCTTATTGTTACCTATGTCTATCCGATAATCTAATTTGTTCACGACCTTGGAAACTACAAATGGACCTTTCCATTGTAACAACAACTTATTGCGTTTTGTAGGTATAAGAACCAGTACTTTTACTTCCCTTCTTAAAAGTTCTATCTCTAGCTTTCCTATTGTAATACTTTCTATACCTAATACTGCTCTTCTCTAACTCCTGCTGTGCTATCTTACATGTACTTTCTAGTCTTTCTTGCAAATCAACTACATACTGATAAGTTGTCTTAACTTCGTCATTCTCTGTTTTTCCTGACCATAACTCTCTCAAAATGGTAATTGGACCTCTTATACTACGTCCATATAACAATTCAAATGGCGAGAATCCTAAACTCTCTTGTGGAACTTCCCGATACGCAAACAACATAGCATTCAAATACTTATCCCAATCTGTAGGTCTTTCACTACACATCCGTTTCAACATCTGCTTTAAACTACCATTAAATTTCTCCACTAAACCATTACACATCGGATGATACGGTGTAGTTGTTAACTGTCTAAGAGACAGCAACCTACTAACCTCATTCATAATCTGTGAAGTAAATTGTGATCCACAATCTGTAAGCATTTCCTCTGGAACCCCTTATCTACTATACATGTCAACAAATGCTTCGGCTACTCTTTCAGTCTCTATACTAGGCAATGCAATTGCTTCAGGATATCTGGTAGCATAGTCTACCATGGTCAAAATATATCGGTTCTTCCTATCAGTCATAAGTTCGATCGGACCAACAATGTCAACGGCAACTCTCTTAAAAGGAGTATCAATCAAAGGCATCTTACCTAAAGTTACCTTACTTATTCTACCTTTAGAAATAGTACGTTGACAAATATCACAAGACTGACAATATCGTCTAACCTCTACAAGAACATCTGGTCAATAAAACTCCCCTAAGACTCTATCACTTGTCTTCCTAATACCAAGATGTCCTGCCAAAAGCGAGTCATGCGCTACTTTTAACACAGTCTCCCTAAGATCCTTAGGAACTACTAACTGCCTACTTACGTCACCATTTCCTGCCGTAAACTCTCTAAACAACATCTTATTCCTGATCTGAAACTTCACTTGCCCTTTACCTCTACAGTTTCTAACAGTACCTTCCTCTGCTTTCTTTCTACATCCATCTAATGTTCTATCTGCCTGCTGCTTCTCTACAAACTCTACATTAGTGATGTCTAAAATCTGTGAAGGAACTTTTAAGTCTTCTATGAGCTTTAACTTTACTCTGCGATCTTGTTTCTACTGCTGAAGCTAACTTACCAAAATTTGGTTCTACAGCACCCTCTATGTTACCGATAATTACATCATTTGTAGGATTATCTACACATAGTGCTTCTACAGTACCCCTGTAATACGGACAATCAAGATCAATTAACGCCATGTCTAATCTGTGCTCACTACCATCAATGTACTTACATCGTCTGGACTTCCCTAACAATTGATTTTGCATTTACCAAATTCCTTCGTACTATGACACATGTACACCCAGTATCTCTCATTGCAACTATAGCTTTACCATTACATATACCTCTAGTTGTCGGACATGAATTTATAGTAACTGTACCCAAGTCTTCAAAATCCCCAAGTTCTATCAAACTACTACCACTATCTGATCTCGGCATCGAAATTTTCGAATCTGCATCTCTATTTCTTCCTCTACCTCTACTCCTACCTCTATAACCTCCTCGCCTTCTATTACCCTGATAACTATTATCATTCTTACTTGGATTCATTGAGTTCGGTTCTATGTCTTCCGCTGCATTAGCTTTATTTGTAGCCTTATTTCTACAGAAAAATGCTGTATGCCCTAAACGACCACAATATGTGCATTTATAACCTTCATACTGCTGAGATGCTCTACCTCTATTTACCAGTCTATCGTTACCTCTTTGCATACGATAACTACTACCTTGATTTCTATCTACAGGTCTACTCGGCAATGCATAAGGCTTAGCTCTTTCTTTAATTCCATGATTCACTACATACTTCGGACCTCCTCTAGTCTTGGCAAACAAATCTGCATCTTCCGCTACTTCACGGGCTGAAAACAACTTCTTACTACTAAGGTTCTGATATAGTTCTCTATTGCAGATATCTAAAAATTGATCCCTTACTATGAAGTCTAACAACTTTTCAAAAGTCTTCTCCACCTTACTCAATCTTAGCCAACCATCTAAGTATCTAGAAATTCTAGCTAGAAACATAACAAAAGTATCATTTTCACGGGGCCTTTCAGTCCTAAACTTCTTCTTATACCCATCATCAGTCAACTCAAACTGCCTTAACAAAGCATCTTTCAGCTTATCATAATCCGTCCTATCTTCTAATGGAAGCCTATCAAATACCTCCCTAGCAGTACCTTTTAACAGAAACGGTAAGTTTAGTGACCACATTTCATGTTTCCAATTCTGAGCAGACGCATAAGTTTCATAAACATTCAAATACGCATCCATAGAATCAATCTTTTCGTCAAATGGAGTCATCTTCACCTGAACCTTACCTACACTCTTCTTACCTAGCATATCTAACTCTATCTTCATCTTATGTTCTGTATCTAACTTCCTAGCTTCTGCTTCCTCCTTCTCTCTTTCTAACTGACGAGCATAATCTAACTTCTCCTTTGCAACCCTAGCCTCATTACTTAACTTCTCTTTTTCCATTCCTATCTCTATTTCTAACTTCTCTTTTTCCATTCCTATCTCTATTTCTAACTTCTCCCTAGAAATCTTAAAATCATAATCTAACTTCTCTTTTGCTAACCTAGCTTCTAATTCTAACCTATCCTTCTCAGCTTCTAAACGTTCCTTCTCAGCTTCAAAACGTTCCTTCTCAGCTTCAAAACGTTCCTTCTCAGCTTCTAACCTACTATGTCTTTCTTCACGCTCCCTTGCTTGCTCCTCTTTAACAAAGTTTCTCAAAGCCTCATCTGTATACCCTAACTCCTGACCTACCTTCATCAACTCATTTACACTAGTCATCTTGAACTTATTATGTATATTTCCTACACTGTAACACTACTACAACAACAACTTATGATACAAGTAAAATCTTACCGTGAGGTAGAACAATGATATCAAAGTATCATTAACGGGTAACACTACAACCCTTAAACACAAAACGCTATATTCACTAAGTGCAATCACGGTGCACTATAACACTACACTTCAGTGTAACACCATATAATTAAACGCATTTATCACTCTAGCGCTATAATCAAAATGTATCTTCACTGTACACAGTACTAAAATAAACAATGTATCATATATTCTAAACACTATACCTCACCACTACAAACACTAAGTTTCAAACTCATCTAAGTATCTCACTAAGGCTGTATAATAATAATCTTAAGTGTACAGTAGACAGTAGGCAATAATTAAAACTGTTCAAAATACTTTAAACTTCAAAGTCCAAACTACGACCCAAAACTCAATGTCGCGTAGCACTTTACCCCACAGTGCAAAAATATAAAAGGTATATGGCCAGTTTCAATATACTACAGACACAAAGTAAACACAAAGTAAAATTGTAAATGACACAATAAATTAAATGTTCACCTAGATAACAGACACAGTTTCTTTATCTAGAAAAAAGTACACAAGGCGGGTAGGGTAGTACCTTAAATTGCAGAGTGTATGTGTGTATATGTGTACTTCCGGTGTTTTACCGAAAGGTCACTTTCAGATTACAAAACTGGTGGTCTCATCATAAAGTGACATCTAAAAGGAGGAAAATGGAACGAACTCACCCTAAACGTCCACTCTCGGGTCTGTGTGGCTGTTATAACCTCTCAGCTGGATAGCTGTCACACACACAAGTCCGTTTCATTTGTCACGGTATCAATCTGAAAATGTTAAGAAATTATAATCACACTAAATAAAAAAAAATAATTAAAAGTGATACAAAATTTAACTACCTTTAAGTAAACTAAATTTAACTTTAAATTGTAAATAAAGCTTTTTACTTAAAATAAAAACCAAAGTTTCTAGTGTTAGCTATATAACCGAGCTGCAGTAAAATGAGTGTGGTTTGTTTCAAATAACAACTCTAGTCAACCGGTATCCAATCACGTCGAGGTCACCAAATGTCACAATAGGGACTACGATGGGATACCAGTCCGACCACAATTGCTACCTAAAACAACCAACAACTCAGAACAGAACATATATACAAATTTATTTACAAGAAACGAATATTTATAAATGAAAAATGATTATATATGAAAAGTCACTGCGCAAACAAACACTATCAACGTATCTCAGTCTATTTCTCCAAACACTATCAACGTAAAGTTTCTGTCATGATGTTTCAATAAAGTGGTGGCGTTGTTGAACAAAATTCGTCACAATGGCGGGCATCTTGTATAAAATCTTATCAAGCGTAACTGTACTTCCTACAGTGTTGTCACAGTTGATAGGATCCTGAACAAGGGCATGCGTCACCCTTTAGCCATGGACATACGTGTGGAGGGCCCGTGTCATCTTCGGGTGTGTCCTCAAATAAGAAGCTACAAAGTATAAAACATGGTAAGTTCCATGATAATCAAAAATAAGGGTATAATAAAGTCCCTTGGAAAAGACTCGACCTTTGTCGGTTTCCAATAAATTAACGTGCTTCTTTGAATAAACAAAATGTCCACTATAGTACACCATACATTCCGTCTTCCAAAATCATGCCACTGAAGATCCTTCTCTAGAGATACGTTAGTTTTGATACGTTGTATTTAGTTATAACAAAAACTGATGATAAATGAAATGAAGTAAGATGATAACGTAAATTAAATTGATTGAAACAAATCATTACGATACTGCAGCATTTTACATAAAGTTACACAAATACGGTAGAACCATAATAAATTATTTATGAATAGATATATATATCTATAAAATATTCACGGCTCCTATACAATTACAATATAATTAAAACTTCAATTAACATACATCAATTAACATGTCTCGGTATAAATTTGCAATAGCGAAACACTAGAATAAAAAGAGCTTTTAAAATTTAATCTGCAAAAATTTAGAAAATTTAGAAAACAATAAATTACTGCCAAATAACTAAACCTGAATCAAATAAACTATAATTCTAATAGAAAATAGTATTTTACGAAATAGCAAAAATTTATGAAACAAAATCACTAGAAAATTAAATTTACCTTGTACAAGCTGTAATTTTATGACAAATATAATTTGTCTATCACCGTCATAGTGACCTGTATAACGTCCAGTGCATTGCAATATCTCACTTAAAATTTAGTCATTATATAGCAAACTACTGAGTACTGAGCGGGAAAACGGATCGTGCAAAACATGAAAAATCGATTTGCCCGAAATAAAGCTGGGACGGCGGGAAAAATAGTTATGTAAAATAAAGGCCCGTCCTTCAAATACAGACATAATACATAGATCTGGTTCATAAAACAAAAATGTAACTTTCTTATTACTGAAAGGATTTTTGTGAAATAAACGGCAAGATGTTTAAATTGAGACATGGAAATTTATGCAAACCATAAAAATACTCTAAATAATAATTTCACCCGAAAACTCTAAATTGAACAAAAGATGATGCAATCTCACACCAATGAATATAGAGTAAAAATGAGGTTCGGCGTGAAAATATAATGCAAGATTTTACAAACGTACTTTCACTTTGTGACACTACTCCTCGCAAAATATAACCAATGATCTGTACTTCTCTTAGCTTAAGCATTAGGATACAATTGTGTCGCCTTTTGCACCTTTAAAACGTTAGCTTAGGGTAAGCTTTGACGATTCGTTCGGCGCCGACCTATAAGCGCAAATAGGCTTTAAAACTACTTGTCCCATTAATCTTGTCAATCTAGATATGCTTTAATCATCTTCAACATTTTAAGATTAAATCTTTGACATCGTTTATTCGTCTTTAGATTCCGCAGTGTGGTCCGATATTTCATGATTCTGTTTCAAAATTGGCACCATAATTAATGTTGACTGGAAGCAAATAGTCGAATCTAGCAATAAACTCATTGACAATCTTCAGTGAGCATACATCAGTCTGCTAAGAAGAATCTGCAAACACCTTGGTGTATTTAATGAAGTCGTAAGTAAACACCATGGCATATCTGTTGCCATTTTAGTTATCTGCAAAGTACCAAAAACAATCGATGAAAGAACACAAATTGAACACCGCTCGGCAGATGTCCTATCAGTATTTTTTGCATTCACTTTAGTTCTACATTGGCTGCACAAATATCACAGACCTTTACAAAGCTTGATATCATCCGTCAGTTAAAACTAGTTGTCATGAGTCGGTGTACATCACAACATGGTCTATAAACTGTATATAGTAGTCGATGCAATTTGTTTTCGTTTGCATATAACTATACACGCAGGACTGACCAATCCGGATTATCACATTTTCTGGATTCACAGTGGTCCTTGATAATGTCGCTATATCTATGTCAATTTCCTTAGGTTTTGCCATTTTTTGCACTGGTTGCTTCGGTCAGAATTGTACCCTGATCTATGTCACAGATGTGACATGCGTTTGTGTATTTTCTTGAAAGATATGTTTTTATAATTGCCTGCTGTTACATCTTACCAAGACAATTCCATTCGATCTACACACCTATGTCTCTACATCAAAGGACATTAGTCACACTTACAGTTTGAATTATTAATTTGCATAATTAGAGAATATATATACACACATTCGTGTCCAGACTGTAACTTTGACATACAATGCAGCATTTAGAAAAAAAGCATATGTGTCTTCCAAATCAAGAAGTCTTTATACGCACAAGATCCATGTCATTACCCCCAAGTTCAATGTCACATTGATAGTTTGAAGGAACATATTCTAACACTAAAATGTTGGACGTACACATTCGTGTCTGGACTGTTACTTTGTCATGCGATGAAGGATTATAAGTAACTATCATTAAATCTTCCACATCAAGACCACATATCGCATCGAATAACCATGGGCCTATCCTTAACCCATTACGTTATATACACGCCTTTTAACGCCTTTTTCACCCCCCCCCCCTTCTTGTTGTCTCAAATGGTGAAAAAATGCCTTATTTAGGCCCCCAACACTTGTTTTTGTTTGAGAAATGTTGTTAAAAAAGTAACCTCTTTTTCGGCACGGCCCCCCAACCAAAAGATACATCAGGGGGTTGCCAGAAGGGGGATGTGCCCCCTTCTGTTTGGGGGGTTTGAAGGGGGCGGAATCCCCCTCATCGCCAAGAAAATTTTGGACTTGTGAGGGGCTATAAATGACCCCAGATTGATCATAGGGTAACGAGTAACCAACGCTGAAAAGCATTTGACTCTATCTCAATCCATTGAAAAGTTGCAGCACTTTGAAATCGATTTTGATGGAAAAAATCAACGCAAAATAGTGATTTTTGGCAATTTTGAGATGTCCCCTCGTTGCCATGGTAACAGAAAATTTAAGCCTGAGCATGTTGTTGCAAGGGCAATGGTCCAGTCAACATTTGTGCCAAGTTTGATTAGTGTTGAAGCAGTATTTACAGTTTTATAGCAATTTGAACTTGTAACGGGAGACTTTTCAATGAAAACAGCCATTTTTCACAAAATGCTCATGAAGTAATGGGTTAAGGTAGAGACGGAAAGTTTGCTTAGAATATCACTTCATTTCACAAAAACAATATTAAGTAATTAGTTCATTTCCTACTTTTTTTCTTTTTATAATACTGTTCCCTACATTGTCTCAACGTTTTCGGGGGCATTTCACTTTTGTGTGACAAATATAATGGTTCACATGTATTCTGTTTCTTGAGATTTACCATGTACATTTAATCAAATAAGCCTGGTGACTTGTATGATAAACGCATGTATGCACTACAAGTATATAAGATATCATTCATGCAAAAGAACAATTTATGGTTTGAGCCACTGGAAATAACGACAAAAATGGGAAAAAATGGACAAAATATTCAGCCAATTTGTGAAGTCTCCCCGTCAGTTTTGAAGCGCGTATTTCACTGTATCTGCTACATTTGGTTTACATATATTTGCTATCATAACAAATGTATCCCGGTTAAACATTTATTCTCTACATCAAACCTCTTTTACAAATGGAGAAAATGTTTGTTTATCAACGAATGTAGCACCAAAACTATTCATTACCGGAATTAGACAAGTCGACAGCTTGGTGCGAAAAAAGGTTGTATCTCCTTCTTTATCTCATATGAGTTACAACCCTTTCGCACCAAGCCCTCGAAATGAACTATTGAATAAGGGACATCATTTCTGAAGTTGAAATGAAGTTATTATTAAAGGGAAAACAAATCATAAGTCTGTACCTCGCACATGCACCAGTGATACAATTACCAAATTCTTGGCAAATGATTTTTCTTTTAAAGTTTCAATACAATTAATGTTTGCTTAATTATATTGTCACACTTTCAAACTATTGTTTAAAACATCGTCAATTACAAATAGCTCGAAATGTTTATACACAAAGGGTAAAAATTCTAAGGTCATCAATTTAAAGCCTTCCTTTCCCAAATTTAAGCAAAAAGATATTCATAAACAAATACATAAAAATCAGTAGAAAACCCATTTGTTTACAAAAAAGATATTGAAAAAGAATATTTAAGTAGTATTTGACATCTATTAAGAATCGAAAATATGATCCTTAAGAAAATCACCCTGTCTTTCAGTACCTGTTAAGTCTGCCTTGCATGGCAATGTAACTAGATGCTTTATAAATTTGTAAAGGTTATTTGTATATGTAATTTCAATTTGTGCAGTCGTATAAAATATTATTTAAAAAGATCTTATAATTCTGTTTTAAGATTTGACCCTACAATCGTCCATCTATTGATGAACAGGTCATGACTCACTGAAGCTAAAGAGACAAGTGTTGCGTCGATAAATGTAATTGATCGATAACCATGTAAACCGTTATGCCATACCTTAAAATCCGTAAAATTTACTACGGAATCAGGCAATTCCCGACAAAAGATCAATTATTCAAATGTTTAAATGTCTCAGATCAATATTGACAATTCCGTTAATTATACATCATCAACTGGCTAAAACTAAAACCAAATCGATTTTTAAACCAGTTATGCCATACACAGTGATAAGTTTCAGTTTAAATATACCCAATTGTTGTATAAAATCAATTCAAACATCTTAAATACTTGTTTCAAATAAAATTAATCAGTCGCAAATTACGAAATTCAAAAAGACGCTGCATTAACTATAAATAGTTAAAGCATCATTAAAAGCAAAATTTAAATTTGTTATTGGACGATTTGGAGTCAATATAATTATTTCTAAAACTTGTGAGCCTAAATTGGAAAAATAATGAACATTTTGACAATTCACATTTCAAAAATGGTTAACAGTTACGGAAAATCGACTTTATTATTAATTACACAAGTTTGTATTATAATATTTCTTTGCTTAACAACCCATGATCATCGTGTGGTAAGACCTTTTATATTTTATATTTCTTTTATTTGATGATTTTATTCCAGATTATTACTTATGCTTGAAAACTTACCATTATTTATGTTCCTGCAATTTGCTGCTACTACAATATAAGCTATTTCCAAATTAAAAACAATCATTTCATTATTGTACCTGAAGTTTTCAAGATTACCATATTATTACAGTTTATAGCCTTGCATGAATGTACAAAATTCAAAAGTTTCCCGTACAAGTTCAATCATGCTTAAGTCACTTTTTTTCTCAAAAGCTCTCTTTTAAATATTACTTCCTTATTATATATTGTTATAGGATTATATTCGAAAAAATATATCCTGCATAAAATAAAGTTTCATTGCATATGATTTTAAGTAAGCAAACGCTATATATACACAAAAAAGTAAGTATTGCAACACCTGATTTTTGTGTGGCTGCATGGCCGAGTGGTTAACGCGTCGAACTAGTAATCTAATGATCACTAGCCGCATGAGTTCAAACCCTGTCAGGGGCAAGTCGTTGTTTCATTCAGCAAGAAAATTTACACACCTTGCTCAGTACTGGTTGGTTCCAGGAACGGATTCGAAAGTGTGTCTATAAGCTTATAGCTTCCTACACAATCGAACTAAAATAGATTCTGTATAAACCAACACCTGATTTTTTAAATGCCATCTACACATTAAAATCAGCGTTAGCGTTCTTGTTTATCATTAAGTTCAAGGATTCCATCCTTCACAATAGCAGGAAAATGTATGATTGGCATACTTTGTGCGAATACATGTATATCAAAGGGCCTTTTTTAACAAATATTAGCCAGGTTCATCAATATATTTGGCTTTTTATAAGGAAACGCTAATCAAACGATTTTGGTTACGACCATCGTTCCATCACCATTGGTATCGTTTTGTCAAGAAAATATTACGTTTTGTCATACTGTCTTCCATGAACGTACATAAATCACCGGATCTAATTTGCCGGAACATTGTTTAAAATAGAAATGTACAAAAGATACAGAAATGTCTAATGCGTACTATACTGAACGAAAAAAATATATTTTCCTGTATTAAAGTGAAGATATACACAAATATGAACATCAGGAATGAAGTAAAATTATATAAAATGAACGATCTTTTTATTGTCATTTATTGTAAAATTTTATTGCTTAGGGTCTATCCTGAAGAA